CTTGCCATTTTCAATTAATATATTACATAGACCTCATTTGCAGTGCTGCCTTCTCTGCAAGTCTCCTTACTTCTTTGGTCAACCACCCTGCTATGTGCAGTCTTCTTTTCCAACTGTGTGTTCAGATTGTGGAAGCACTACTACGTGCTTTGTTTCATTGCTTCAACAACTGATTAAGAGCTGTTATAGCATACAAAAATGAAGGCAAACTGGAACACTGTCATCTCTTGTTCTCTCACCTGTTATTTCATGTATAATAAAATCTTCCACAGTTCTGAGAGTTTTCCAGAAAGACAAGCCAGTGCTGGTCCCCTTTATTATGAGGGCCTTAGCACCCACACATCTTCTCTGGAGTGTGGAGCTCTCAGGACTGTGCTGAGCCCACCCCACCTCGGTATTTATCACAGCTGATGGTCAGTTTTAAATATTCCATTTGCCTTTCATGAGCAAGTGGTGTGGCATGTTAAGGAGACCAGAGCAAGTGAAACGGAAGTGATCTTCACCCGAGACATCATAAAGTGTCCTGAAAAAATATTTCAAATGAATAATTTAAATGAGGAGACCCTACAGTCTTAGTTGGTTGCTACCAGGTGACATGAGTACTCTAAAGAGAAGGTGTTTATGTCGGGCTTAGGAGTTAGAGACACTAGTGACAGGATGCAGCTATAGCTGTAGGGCTAAGGCTGAGATCCCGATTTCCAGGCAGAGAGCACCTGGTTACCACCATGAACTGCAAAGGTCAGGGAGCCTGTAAAGAAGCTAGAAGGCCCAGGAGATGGCTCAGTGAAATAAGCACTTCCCTGGCAAGTGCAAGGGCAAGGGCCTGAGTTCAATCCTCGGTTCCACCGAAAAAATAAATAAATGAATAAATAAATTCTTGGGACGGGGAGATGGCTCAGTAGAATAAGTGCTTCCCTGGCAAGCACAAGGGTCTGAGTTCAATCCCCGGTTCTGCCACAAAAAAAAAAAAAGAAGAAGAAGCTAGAAAGCAGAGACTTCACATTTCAGTCGTTGTTTCCCCAACACCTCGCTAAGGTAATTTTTTAAAAAAGCATGTGATAGTCTTTTTCTTCTCAAAGGTATAATAATAATTTGCCAGTTTTAAAGTCCATATGGCTGGGTAGGGTGCAGCATGCCTGTAATCCCAGCACTCAGGAGGCTGTAGAATTGCCACAAGTTCAAGGGCAGCCTGGGCTACATATGCAGTTCAAGGCCAGTCTGAGCTATATAGTGAGACTCTATCTCAGAAACAAAAACAAATATATGGACTGCTGGACAGTGTTGGATTGTTTTGCTGAATTCAAGCACCTATAGTATTTAGATGAAAATAGAATGCCCACTTCTGACAGAACTAAATAAAAGAGGATACAAAAGAAGGACCATTCTGTATCTGTATATATAGAATAGTTAGGATAGATATACAGCTACTCTCACTTAATTCAATGAGAAGGAAGATGTGTACTAATAGTATTTGGACAAGATATCCTGTCTGCTTCTTGTACTGTGGATAATCACTAAGAATATGACAATGTACAATGTATTATTTATTGAAACTGTCCTATTAGTCAGCTTTGAAACTGTCTCATTCATATTTGTTTCTCAATAAAATAAAAAAAAAACAAAAACAAATTAAAACTCTATATGAACTCTCTTTTATTTTTTTTGCAAAACCCCAGTAAGGACCAATGTCTTTCCTGGTTCCTTAGTAAAACAATGTGATTTGAGAGCACTTGCTCTACTAGCTCCTGGAGACAGTGTCCCTCAAGTGAATCTTAAGGTGCTGAAGGAGAGCAGTGTCCACCCTAGGATTTGGGCACAGAAGGGCATGGTAACCTCCAGGTTAAGTCCTCAGGTGAGCCTGCCTAGGAAATAGTGCAGGTGGGGGATCCTTTTAGTGTCAGCTCATTTATCAAACTGGGTTCTTTGTTTGGTCTTGTGTGAACTTTGCATGAGCTGATTCAAACACCAGCTTGTTTTCTCTCTGGATTCCTTTGTAGAATATCTCCATCATACAGCCCCTTTATCTTCATGTACTTAATCATTTATTCCTTCTTTGCATGTTTTTATTGTCTTGGGGTAAAATGTGTACCTGAGGGAGACCTTTACAATCAGTGGTGAGTCTCCATCCTCATGTTGGGAATCTTTGAAATTCTACAGGCCTAGAGGCATCGCGACAGGCCAAGCCTCTTTGCGAGCCAGACCCACAATGCTGGTGACACTGTTGTAATCATGGACTTACCTAGGATGACAATGTTTAATCTTTATTTTCATTAGTACATGTTTGCAGTGCATGATGATTACAGTCATGGTGGGAAGCTCTTACATATACACTGCACATCTTAATTCCTTTTACGTTCCCCCTCCCCAGGTGACTGTGCCATAGTGAGAGCTCATGCTCCACAGGCTCATGCTGGGGTTAAAGGAAGAGTGGTCAGGGAATGCCCTGGTGGTCTCCAGAAACAGCCAGACATCCTACTTGCTAGGAGCCTACTGCCAAGATGTCATGCATGCTGTCTACCCTCTGTCTTAATGGGAAACTGAATCTGGAAGTCCCAGAGCAGGCTAACAACACAATTTCAGATAAAAGGCAGGAAGGATGACACTGAGCACAGTATCGGAAGAAGCCAGTGCCAGTTCATAAATCTGGGAGCTAGTTCTGCTGAATGCAGTTATCCTCTAGCCTGGTCTTACCAGACACCAGTGGTCTGGAAGATGTCCCAGCAAGGAAAGAAACAGGACACAGAGAAAGTGCAAGTGGGGCAGGAGGCAACTACACAAGCTGATTGGAGGAAGGAGAGAAGGGCCCACCGTGGAACCTGTTCCTTGGCTCTGGGTTTCCCTGCTGCGTTAAACATTATCCAGGACCTGGATGCCCAGGTCTAAGTATGATGGAGTAACCAGGTAACTAGGCTTATACACAGCAAGTCCCCAGGAATGCACCCAGGGTCCTCAGCAACCCTTGGCAGACCCCAGCCCTAACTGCCACTAATTACCATGTCACTGACTATGCAGTTTTGAGCCTACCAAACCCCTTCCTCTAGCTTCAATCACCAGAGCCACACAAGCCTCCAAGAGCCATACAAGATCCAAACTCCACCACTCACTGGCCTGCTCCCACCCTGTGGGCTGTGCTTGTCCAGTCAGAAGTCTTTGATCATGCTCTTCTTTTTGAGTCCCCTCTCACTTCTTCAATTAGGACATCAAGAACCTGGAGGACCCCTGATCAATGACAGAAGCAGCATAGGTTTACCGACAGCAAAGGGCACTGTCCAGGACAAAGCAGCGCCAGTGCCTCCCTGGGGTCTATTCAGGGAGGGGGTTCCTCCAACCCTCTGTGAACCACTCCAGGTAGGGGCCACGTCTCCTCCTGTTGAGGCAAGAGGCCCAGGCATGGCTAAGGTCAACATGAGGAATGGGTGACACAGAAACCCCACTGCCACCGAGTGGTTTGCCATTGGGTTCTTTCCCAGTAGTCTACCCTCCAGCTGTGGGGTTGACTTGCTTTTCCCACTTTACATGGCCCAAACTCATATTGCAGAGCCTGTTTCTTTTCCTACCTTTAAGTAATGTAAAATTTTGCTAGTGTTAGAAGGAGCCCCCAGACTCAGAAAGTAAATCAAAAAGATTTACTTCTGCAGAAGGGCACCAATGCACCCAGCAGAGGAGGGAAGCCTTTTTTCCCATTGGCTGGATTGAAGGCTAGTAGTCTATCCCGATTGGCTAGTTGAGGAGGCTGGAGAGGAGGAGCTGAAAGATTGCTGAGGAGCCTGAGGGCATCGGGTGTTGGGGAACAGGAAGTCTTTGGCTATTGATAAGCTATTTTTGGTCTGTGGCTCTATTTTCAGAATTTAGGTGTTTAGATTATTTCAGTGTGTGGGGCAGGACAACTCAGGGTAGACCAGAGTCAAAGATGAAGACACTCTCGTTTATATTCTTTGAAAGAAAAGACGGGGTCGCAGTTTCTCACAGGTTTGTGCTTGTCTTGACCAACTGTTTGTTCAGGACAGAAAGAACCCAGAAATCACCTTAAGAACACTCAGCACTCCAAAACCCGAAGTTGTGCTTTTGTCCTCAAGGGGCCCTTTGTGGAACTACCTGGGACCCTACAGCCCATGGGGGCGGGGTTGAAACTACAATGCAAATGAAATAATAGCACCCTGGATCACTCCTGGAGGCACAAGATGGCTCACGGCGCATGCGTGCCTTCTCCCTTTAGGAAACAAGTTTTGGAGCCTCATTTTTTCTACTCTGCCTCTGAGGTCCCTTCAGAGACATCCTCCGGACTCACTCGGTCTGGTCAGGCGCAGGAAGAAACCCTTGGCTTTTCTGCCGGCACAAGCCAGGTGTGCCAAAGCTTTGCTGCTCCTCAGCGGCCGAGAGCTGGCTCCGCGGCCAGTCGCCTCACTGTACTCGCCCTTCAATCCCGGGAGCCGCTGAACAGAGGCGCGCCCTCTCCCCCCGCGAGACCTTGCTTTCACTGCAGTCTGGAACTTGTTTTGAGTTGGTGGAACTGAGCCCCTATACGTGGTACGGACTGCGGGGTCCGCGGGGAAGACCCAGACTCCGAGCTCTGGGGACGGTGAGTGCCCGGGTCGGGGATCCGGACCGGGCGGGAGTCGGGCGGTCAGGAGCGCGGCTGAGCCCGGGGCTGCAGCCCTCAGAGCCGGAGCCGGCCACCCGCACGTGGGGACGGAGGGCTTTCGGGCTGCGGCTTCCCCGCGCTGGGCCGGGAACCGAACTCGCGTCGGAGATGAAGGGGGAGGACCTGAGTTTTGGAGTCAGGAGCAAGAATCGTAGTCTGAATTAATACCTAGGTCGCTAGGGGGAGCTCTAAGGTAACATTTCAGCCTTTTGCGCAAGACAAGAAGAGAAATAATATAAAAATGGGGCGGAGGGCGTTCTGTTGTTATCTGGCTGCTTTCTGCTTTGTTGGACGTTATCTAGGTTTGCATTTCTTCTCACTGGTGAGGGATTCGTTGCTGTCTTCCCCCCCCCCCCCCCCCCGAACCGAGAATTGAACTTGGGCCCTTTCACTTAGCAGTCCCACTTTTGTGAGTAGCAGGATGTTGTCCAACTGGTTTTGGGTGAAATTTTAGACTGGTGTTTGCATGAAGAGTAGAGTCTATGTGGTCCGGAATCTTGGTTAAGTTTTGTGAGATTTCATCAGGGCTCTTCCATAGACCCTGGAATAAGCTTCGGAAGAAGACGAGAGGCGTGGTCATGGAATTAGAAGAAATAAGAGACAGAAAGGAGACAAGGAAATCACAACTGAAAACTGTCCATTTTAGAAGACTACAGCTTCCAAACAAAACACAACCGCAATTCCCGAAGGACGTAAAATGACTCAAGGAGCCTGGTCCTGAAACAAGTGGCTAAATCTACACTTGTCCTTCCCTGCCCCACCATCAAAAAAGCGTAAATCGGCCCAATTAAGAAAGTTAGCAGGTGGGGGACACCGGAAGGGAATGTGTGCAAACTGTTGTTTTTAAGGTGTACGGCAGAGGCTTGGCACAAAGTGGTTTGGAGGTAAAGCCTTCAGCCACTGTGATAAAGACAGGACTGGAATAAAGATCCCTCAGGTTTCTGCGACACTGAAGATGTCACTTCTGTCCAAGCGAAAGAGATCAGCTTCCTGCTACCGTTAGGCAATCCTAGGCCCTTTGCAGTGATGGCAACTGCAGGAGTTTCAGAACCAGGGCCTAGTTCAGCTGTCAGCAGCAGCCTCTCTTGTCCTGAAGGCTTGTGGGTTAATCCTCGTTTATTATTGTCCCTCATTGTCCCTGTACCGTTCCAGTTGTTGGTCCTATCTGATCTCCTAGTGGAGGGGAAGTAACTGATTTAGAATAAGTGGTATATCCCTTTAGTATCAGCAGAAAATAAAATAAAATACATTTTTAAAAAAGGGCAAAGACCTTAACCTTTTAGCTAGGGCATTCAACTCCTTAAAGCTTTATTTGGGCTTCCATAACAAATTTCTTAGTATGCACCGAAATAATAAAAGATCAATTTAACCCTGTAATTGTAGCTTGGAATTATCCCAAAGCTGTTTATTTTTAAAAACAAAATGCTTTAATCACATATACCCAATAAAATTTTAACTTAAATCAAAAAGTTTAAATGTAAATTTACCCATCAAAGATGTTTCCCTTATTATTACCATTTTTATACGCTGTCCTAAAGGTGTTTTCTCTTGGCATTTGGAGACTGGCCTTAACTTTAGATTGTTATTTGTCAGAATCCGGTATAGGCTGTGTGTAACCCAAGAGCCTCTTTTTATCTGATGTTTGGCTTTTTATTTTGACTGATCTTGGTTTTAGACTTCAGCCTGAGTTCAGTGTGCTAGTTCAGACCTTCAGAGTTGGGGATCAAGCCGAGAAACAGAAGAGACACATAATCCAATGACCTAAAATTGGAGTTAATGTACTTTCAGATGTTTGGGCCAGGATGAATTAGAATATCCCTGTTTTTTTAAGTTTAGTTTGTAATATCTCTGTTATTCTAAAAGTATAAAGTTACACCAAGGCAGAAAGGACATCAGAAAGTGGAGGGGGAAAGCGACTGGAGGCTGACCAGGGACTTGAGGGTGACCAAAATCCTTATGTGTTTTAATTTGGGAAAGATTAAATAGAGCAGAGAACATGAACATGGATAGTGTTTTTTGCCGCAGCGCATCATGGGTGCAAGGGGGACAGAACCAGTTGAGGTTCTGGTTTTGGAGGGAGTTGGCGGGAAGAGCAGTAGTGGACAGAGAAAGGGTAAAGCAGGAGGAGAGAGGGAAAGGTGGTGGCCTAACTGGCGAGGTTGGAAGAAGGAGCTGGGGTCAAGGGCGGAGGGCAGTGGGGCTATTCTCAGTGGATCCCATCTTGGTTTAAGGATAGAGTTAGAGTCAGGTCTAGTATAGGACTGCCGGAGAATCCACTGTGAAGGTAAAAGAAAGCCTGCACATGAGGAAGTTTATGCTGCTTGCCATTGCCAAGCATAAGTGTGAGTCTCAGAATGTGGCAGACAACGGTCTCACATTTAAGTTACTGGCCATTATTTTCTAGTAGGTACTGTGGCCAAACTGGTACAAATAATGTAAGTTTTTTGGTTTGATGTCTTCTCTTACATTCAAGGTTTTTAATATTTAAGGAGATGGAAAAGAGGTGACATTGAGTACTCAGGGGGCTGGACTGGAGTTATCTGCAGCAGAGTGACTGAGACCTCTAGGAGCATGGAAGAGAAAACAGCAGAGATAAGTGTCCCTGGGGTGTCTCTGAGCATTCTCACAGTAATGGGGGCCACCACTTGGAAACTGGTGTCCCAGGTTTCCTGAGGGAAGGGAAAAGGTCCTCTGGAGGAGACCCAGAGACAGCCTGGCTTGGGGAACGTGGCTGGTGCTGTGTGGAAGAATGGCAGCGCTGGGGCACCCTTTCTACATCGGTGGCCTCCCGAAGGTCTCCCTGGTTTTGACACCAGCACGTCAGGTTGGTTGCAGGCCCAGAAACAACCAAGTGGTAGCAGAAAGATGCATTAGGGCAACATGTTGGGGGTCTAAAGTAGACTTTGGCGCCCCGTCCCCTAAGGCAGGATGGCTATGTTTAGGTCTGCAGTGGGGGGTGAACTGCAGGACCTAGCTTGGTGTTTTTGAGCAAGAATTGAAACCTATATTAAAAATTGGGCTGTTAGAGGAAGCTTATCTAAGCTAACACCTGAGAAAGAAAAAGCTTTAAATATGGGGTGTCCTGTGTTTCCCAGGTTGGCCTTGAACTCAGAATCCTGCCACAGTCTGTGAGTGGCTGAAACAAAGACCCCATCATCCCAGCCTAACCTGAGATTCTGAGTAGAGGGTGCAGACTCAGCTCTTCCCCGGTGCAAATATGTGTCCCACCTGGGTGGAAGGCTTGGTCCTGCTCTGCTCACTGGCAGCATGTGAAGTGGCCAGAGACAGGGAGTGTGGGTGAAAGCTGGATGGACTGCCTTCAGTGGCAGGTAACTGACCCAGGAAGCATGCAGACAGAGCAGTCTTGGGGAGGGCAGAGCCCTAATATCATCTCAGAGTTCTACCCTGTGCAACCTTCTAAAATCTAGGGGAAGCTGAGTTTCCCAAAAGACAAACCACATTCAACCCACAGCAGGAGGAGGGGTCCCCTTGTGGGCATTGTGCTTGTTGCTCCTGGCATTCTTGCTGGATGCTTTTTTTAAAGAAAGGAAATGCCACTTGCGGTAGACGATTTTATTTGAAAGGAGGTTTCCAGTAGGGCAAAGCCCCAAATGCCAGTTCTTCAAGCTTCTCAAGTGTTAGAAAAGGGCCTTTCTTTTGCAAGGAAGAACAAACAAGCATAGAGAAGGTGGGAGAAGCCAGGGTTGTTGACATTTGCCTGTCACCCCAGTACTTTGGGAGGCTGAGGCAGGAGAGTTGTGAGTTGGAGGCCAGACTGAGCTATTTAGTCAGATCTTATCTCAAGAATGAGAGGAGAGATGGGGGAAGTTAGGGTTCATGGCCACAGCAGCCCCCAGGCCACAGAAGGGTTTCTCTGAGGTCCAGCCTGTCTTAGGGTGGTGATCTGCAAGGGGCCGTGTGCTGCTGATGCTGGCCTGGTTGAGGTCCAGAGTCTCAGGTGTGGGAAAGAGAGCACCTCAGGTCTGGCGGGTCCATGTGTGCTTTGTCCCTGCTGCCAAGTACAGCCGGTCCTTACTGAGATGAAGAATCAGAACTTGGAAAGCCCACCTTCCTTGTCCTCCTTAACAATGGCCATCATCTCTGTGTGGTGGGAAGGGTGCTTCCTGGCAGGTAGCTGCTCCTCTAAATGGAAAGCTCAGGGAGGAGGAGGTCAGCCTCTTCAGCTGTTCTCTAGGCCTGCTCTAGTGACTGCAGTTCTGGCAGTTGAGAAAACCACTGACGATGCGACACAGAGGAAGAGGCCTTGTCCTTTTGCCTGTTGGGAAAGGGCTTGGGAATATGAGGGTTTATATGGGTGTGTGGTGTAATACAGTATATTTGGGCTTTGTCCCCAGTATCTGGCACCAAGGTGTGATAACCTTAGAATTTCCTGGCTGACAGACTGTGTGCCCTGTTAGCATAACAAGCTCCAGTCAGGTAATGAGTGAGTAGCGGCCAGTGAAGTGTCAGGGGCGCCATAGTGTCCTGTTGGAGCCATGGCCACTAGCAAGCCTCTCTGCCTTCCTTATGTCGTATGAAGATTATTGCTCAGGGTGGGTGGGTGTACAGCTCACACCCATAATGCCTGCATTGGACCTTAAATTAGTCATGAACTTTAGAAGTCTGCCCCAATGACTACATGAGGCTTGGCCGCGGGCAACTAAGCACATACCATAGCACCAGGTGTTACCTCTTGGATTTGGGTGGAGCTCATGCACTGTTAATACCATTATTATGCATGCATTATGCACAGAGGCAGTGCTTGTACTTCCTGTGCTGTGTTGGCTTTCTGATGTGGAAAAGGCTTTTTATCTCCTTCCTTCCTTCCTTCCTTCCTTCCTTCCTTCCTTCCTTCCTTCC